AAACATTCTTTGAGTATCGAAGCCAGATGGAACTTCGAGACTAATACTCAATCTTAAAAAATTGAACGAATTTATCGTGACAGAACATTTTAACGTAGAAGATTGGAAGATCGCAAAGAGGTTAATTAAGGAAAATTTTTTTTCTCCTTATGGCCATCTTAGACTTAAAGGACGCGTACTATCTAGTATCAATAGCAGAGAACGATAGAAATTCTTAAGGTTTACGTACAACAGGGAACTCTATGAATTCACCTGTTTACCTTTCGGGCTGAACGTGGCCCCATACGTTTTTACAAGAATTGCATACCAGTTGCAGCGTATTTAAGGAAACGCGGATTTCTGTCGGTTATCTATTTGGATGACATATTGCTCAGGGGCCGGTCTTACGAAGCATGTGCAAAGAATACTTACAAAACAAAAAAGCTCGTGCAACAGCTTTGGTGTATTATTAACAAAAATAAAAGTCGTATCGTCCCTGTTCAGCACTGTAAGTTTCAGGCCTCATTTTTGATTCACAAAACCAGAGGACAAAGTACAACGGACCGTAGCACCTTAAAAAAAAAAAAAAAATAAGATGTCGAGTTGCACAATAAGAGAATATGCAGCGTTCGTTGAGACACTAGTTTCGCACTGCCCGGCTTTAAAGTAGGGGTTAATTCATGTACGTAGCTTTGAAGAGGAACGCATGCGAGCGTTGGAATCAAATAATAATGATTTCAATGCAAAGATGATCCTTCCGGGCTCTTTAAACGAGAATTTTGCATGGTGAAAAGTATTCGCATATTCGTAGCGATAGCGCATCAATGAACGATCCCAAGTACGATCTAGAATTTTTTTTCGGACGCATCAAGTACGAGTTAGGACGTGTTTTGTGAGGGTCGGCGTAGTCACGGTCTGGGACTTAGAGGAGTTGAACGTATACATTAATGTATTAGAGTTAATGGCGGCATTCTTTGGGCTAAAATGTTTCGCGAAGGAAAAACAAGACAGTAACATTTTACTCCGAATAGACAATACGACAGCGTTCGCACACATCAATCGTAAGAGAGATAGCCACTTCGGAAACCTTAGTTCTCTTACCAGAGAGATCTAGCAGTGGTGTGAGCAGAGAAATATTGGGATTACGGCGTCGTATATCCGTTCTTACGATAATGTCGAAGCAGATCATGAGTCGCGGAAGTTACAGCTAGAGACAGAATTCGAGCTGT